CTCTACACCCTTACAGCCTTACAGCCTTACAACTCTACAGCCTAACAACTCTACAGCCTTACAACCTTACAACCTAACAACGTTACAGTCTACAATTCTACAGCCTTACAAACTTACCTTACAGCGTTACAGCCTTACATCCCTTCAACCTTACAACCTTACAACTCTACAGCCTTACAGCCTTAAAACTTACAGCCTTACAACTCTACAGACTTACAACCACACAGCCTTACAGCCTCAGAAACGTACAACCCTACCTTACAGTCTTTCAATCTTACAGCCTTAAAGACTTACAGACTTACAACCTTACAACCTTACAACTCTACAGCAATACAACTCTACAGCCTTACGACTTTACAGCCTTACAGCCTTACAACTCTACATCCTTACAGCCTTACAACTCTACAGTCGTACAACATTACAGCCTTACAACTCTATAGCCTAACAACTCTACAGCCTTACATCCTTACAACTCCACATCCTTACAGACTTACAGCCTTACAACTCTACAGTTTTACAACCTTACAGTCATGCAACTCTACAGACTTACAACTCTACAACCTTACAACTCCACATCCTTACAGCCTTACAGCAATACAACTCTACAGCCTTACGACCTTACAGCCTTACAGCCTTACAACTCTACATCCTTACAGCCTTACAACTCTACAGTCGTACAACAATACAGCCTTACAGCCTCACAAACGTACATCCTTACCTTACAGTCTTACAATCTTACAGCCTTAACGACTTACAGACTTACAACCTTACAACCTAACAACCTAACAACTCTACAACCTTACAACTCTATAGCCATACAACTCTACAGCCTTACGACCTTACAGCCTTACAACTCTACATCCTTACAGCCTTACAGGTTTACAGCCTTACAACTCTACAGTCTTACAAACTTACAGCCTTACAGCCTTACAACTCCACATCCTTACAGCGATACAACTCTACAGCCTTACGACCTTACAGCCTTACAACTCTACATCCTTACAGCCTTACAACTCTACAGTCGTACAACATTACAGCCTTACAACTCTACAGCCTTACATCCTTACAACTCCACATCCTTGCAGCCTTACAGCCTAACAACTCAACAGTTTTACAACCTTACAGTCATGCAACTCTACAGACTTACAACTCTACAACCTTACAAATCTACAATCTTACAACTCTACAGCCTTACAATAATATAATAATATGCCATTTAGCAGACGCTTTTATCCAAAGCGGCTTACAGTCATACGTGTATACATTTTTTTGTGTATGGGTGGTCCCGGGGATCGAACCCACTACCTTGGCATTACAAGCGCCGTGCTCTACCAGCTGAGCTACAGAGAACCACTTACAACTCTACAGCCTTACGACCTTACAGCCTTATAACTCTACACCCTTACAGCCTTACAGCCTTACAACTCTACAGTCGTACAACCTTACAGCCTTACAACTCTACAGCCTAACAACTCTACAGCCTTACAATCGTACAACCTTACAACCTTACAGTCTTACAACTCTACAGCCTTACAAACGTACAACCTTACCTTATAGCGTTACAGCCTTACAACCCTACAACCTTACAGCCATACAACTCTACAGCCTTACAGCCTTAAACATTACAGCCTTACAACTCTACAGCCTTACAACCTCACAACCTTACAGCCTCACAAACTTACAACCTTACCTTACAGCCTTACAGCCTTACAACTCTACAGTCGTACAACCTTACAGCCTTACAACTCTACAGCCTAACATCTCTACAGCCTTACAATCTTACAACCTTACAACCTTACAGTCTTACAACTCTACAGCCTTACAAACATACAACCTTACCTTACAGCGTTACAGCCTTACAACCCTACAACCTTACAGCCATACAACTCTACAGCCTTACAGCCTTAAACCTTACAGCCTTACAACTCTACAGCCTTACAACCTCACAACCTTACAGCCTCACAAACGTACAACCTTACCTTACAGTCTTACAACCTTACAACCTTACAACTCTACAACCTTACAACTCTACAGCAATACAACTCTACAGCCTTACGACCTTACAGCCTTACAGCCTTACAACTCTACATCCATACAGCCTTACAACTCTACAGTCGTACAACATTACAGCCTTACAACTCTACAGCCTAGCAACTCTACAGCCTTACATCCTTACGACCTTACAGCCTTACAGCCTTACAGCCTTACAACTCTACAGTCTTACAGCCTTACAGCCTTAAACCTTACAGCCTTACAACTCTACAGTCTTACAGCCTTACAGCCTTACAACTCTACAGCCTTACAACCTTACAACCTTACAGCCTCACAAACGTACATCCTTACCTTACAGTCTTATAATCGTACAGCCTTAAAGACTTACAGACTTACAACCTTACAACCTAACAACCTTACAACTCTACAACCTTACAACTCTATAGCCATACAGCTCTACAGCCTTACGACCTTACAGCCTTACAACTCTACATCCTTACAGCCTTACAACTCTACAGCCTAACAACTCTACAGCCTTCCAGCTCTACAGTCTTACAAACTTACAGCCTTACAACCCTACAGCCTTACAGGTTTACAGCCTTACAACTCCACATCCTTACAGCCTTACAGCCTTACAACTCTACAGCCTTACAACCTTACAGCCTTACAGCTTTACAACCTTACAACCTTACCTTACAGCCTTACAACCTTACAGACTTACAACCTTACAACTTTACAGTCTTACAACTCCACAGCCATACAACCTTACAGCCTTACAGCCTTACAACTCTACAGCCTTGCAGCCTTAAACCTTACAGCCTTACAGCTCTACAGCCTTACAACCTTACAACCTTACAACCTCACAACCTTACAACCTTACAGCCTTACAGAGACTTACAACTCAACAGCCTTACAACCTTACCTTACAGCCGTACAGTCTTAAAACTCTACAGACTTACAGCCTTAAACCTTACAGCCTTACAAATGTACAGTCTTACAACTCTATTGCCTTACAACTCTATATCCTTACAACGCTACAGCTTTACAACTATACAGCCTTACAACTCTACAACCTCACAACCTAACAACCTTACAGCTTTACAACCTTACAACCTTACCTTACAGCCTTACAGCCTTACAACCTTACAGACTTACAACCTTACAATCTTGCAGCAAACAGGAAATGTACATTATTATGTGGATTATAAATCATGGATATTTTTATAGGGGTTGATACATTTTTACGTTAGGGCAAATCAAGTCTGACATTTTTAAGTGGAAATTACAAACTTTGGAAGCCTTTTTAAAACTTGAATACTCTACAAGTTAGCATTTCCTGCTGTGCAGGAAAATATTCATCATCGAAAGAATGATTAAATTAAGATCCTACATCTGTAGATTTTCCTGGTAAACTGTGTGGCCAACAGGCATATATAAAGGGCAGGACAAATGATCGACACGGTCCCATGAGTACGCTCTGTGCAGTATACCATGGGTCTATGGCTTCATGAGCAAGCGCTCCGCACTCACACAATGCCAAGGCATGATAGATATGTAGCTTAATGATGGAGTGCTAATTATCAAGGCTGTAACCATAACGCTGTCAAGATCTAAGCAATTTAAGCATGAGTAATTTGTGGGTTAAACTCTGGGCTTCAGCAAACTTCAATGTTTTACAGTGAACTATGAGAGTGTGGTAAAGAATGGTGGGAACATGGAGTACCAATCTTCTGTGTAGCATCCAAGTGAGGTGAATAGACAGTAAAAATGAGCCTTGAGGCCAAAGAAGCAGGCCAGTAACCAGGGGGTTGCTGGTTCAAATCCCAGGGCTGACTGGATAAATCTGGTTGGCGTGAGCTGGTAACTGAAACTACCATCAGCATAAATCTGATCATATCTGGCATTAGTATATCAGATGCCACCTACTGTCATGTGCCCTTAAGCAAGGCACTTAACCTGCTCCAGGGGTGTTTCTCTGCAGCTGACCATGTGCTGCCTCCTGCAGACACTCATGGTAATACTGGCTTGTGTAGCAGATGGGGCTCTGTGAAACTCACTCCTCAACCTAAAGTTACTCCACTAGCTTTTCGGCGGCGTGACTGGGTAAGACGCTCCTGGAGGGCAGTCACTTGTGTTTGCGAGGCAGACGTCCTGTGTTCGAGCCTCAATATGAGCCTGTACCCGATAAGCAAGCAGCGTGACGTCCTTTCAACTTGCAGTCTTTCTCCCATAAACCTACTCCATACCTCCATCTCTTCTAAATAGAAATGGGTTATTCCTTCACATTTATTTTGACACTGCAAAACAACCATAACATGTACCAATGTCTTGACAGGGGTGTAGCCAATATATTATTTGTGGGAATACTTGAAACAAGATGTATATATTTTGATCACTATGTCTGCCCTCAAAATAACATTATGGTGTCCAGCTGTTTCGAATGTGAAACAATTTCTGCCATTTTCACCACCGATGTCTTCGTTTTAGCATCTTTCCACCAAGTGGGCAAGAGTTGGGAGTTTGAATTGACCAGGGGAATGCTGGTGTTGAAACCCATGCTGTAGGCTATAATTTTGGAATGTCTAATTGGCCTTTTGGATCCATCAAAAGTAAAGCTGAGAGGAACGCTCTGTCCTCAGATGGCTGGCTTGCCCTTTGTGATGCGGCTTTCAGCAATGAGCCTCTGTGTGTAATGTTATGTTTTATCCATCCATACCTACTGCACTCTCCTAGCTCACACTCGCCGCAATGGGGCTATCGAATGAATGAGTGCTCTTTTATTTTGCGCGCAACTTGGACATCTTCATGCTGTGCTCGTCTATTTTCCATGACGATTTCAAAATCAAGTTGTCTGAAAGCGAGTTACCGTTGGCAAAACAAAGATATCTAAAGTGGATCCATTTTATCGGGCTGGACTAATGGACTTCCTAAGAATTCGATGGAAACTATTGAGTCCGTTTCTGTCACTCATGGAAAAGGACTGATATACTATTTTCGGCCATGCCACAATGGTTATAATTCTGGTCTTGCTATTGGTGAATGTATTACACCCCAGTCACGAAAAGCCTCGTTCTTCTTTGGCGGTAAGGACATCTACTCCGCAGAGTGTCGGTGCGCAGAGCTTTGACCCGAGGCAGCGCAGGGATGCTGCGGGGCGCGGAGGAGTGTATGAGCACCTTGGGGGAGCACCGAGACACAGAAAGCTGTACTGTGCCACAAAATATCACTTACAAATACATCCCAATGGGAAAATAGACGGGACCCTGGAGGAGCATAACCCTTTCAGTGAGTACAGTATAACATACGCTTTTATTTCTGCCTTGTTATGTGCTATGCATATATAAAAGTTTATGTTCAGCCATTATATGGGCTAAAGCCTAACAAGAATAGTCCTACGGTACACATGATTGTAAATAGTTTTAAAGTAGACGTTCATGATTTCTCAGTTAAAACAGAGCTCTGTTTTACTTCTTACAAGTTGCGTGCATTATTGTGGGGTCGTTCCTACTACTGGTCATTTGGTAGGCTACATTGGAGTGATCAGAAGACTAGCTGATGATGTAAAGTGTTACTGAAGTCTAACTAAAATCCATACAACTTTATTGTTGCATCCAACACAACAGTAGTGTATCGACATTATAATAACATTGTTATTACACTGACACAAGTAACACTTGTCATTGCATGAAATGAGAATGAATGAACGTTTTTTATTGGCTATATTGTTTTCCCATTCAGGTATATTGGAGATCACAGCAGTGGATGTGGGAGTGGTGGTTATTAAAGGACTGTTCTCTGGGAGATATCTGGCCATGAACGAAAAAGGACGACTACATGCATCTGTAAATGAGACATGATCTCTGAGATCTTTCTCTGTCCCTCTGTTCTTCTGTCTGTCCTTCTGTCTGTCCGTCTGTCTGTCTGTCTGTCTGTCTTTCTTTCTTTCTTTCTTTCTTTCTTTCTTTCTTTCTTTCTTTCTTTCTTTCTTTCTTTCTTTCTTTCTTTCTTTCTCTCTCTCTCTCTCTCTCTCTCTCTCTCTCTCTCTCTCTCTCTCTCTCTCTCTCTCTCTCTCTCTTCTCTCTCTCTCTCTCTCTCTCTCTCTCTCTCTCTCTCTCTCTCTCTCTCTCTCTCTCTCAATTTCAATTTCAATTTAGGGCTTTATTGGCATGAGAAACGTATGTTAACACTGCCAAAGCAAGTTAAGTAGATAGTCAACAAAAGTGAAATAACCAATAAAAATTAACAGTAAACATTACACTCAGAAGTTCCAAAACAATAACGACATTTCAAATGTCATATTATGTATATATACAGTGTTGTAACAACACTGTATATAGAATATATATATACTCTCTCTCTCTCTCTCGAATAATTGGATAATTGACTACCATTCATAAACAGTCTCATTTCCATTGAGCATAGTCTTACATTTGGAAAAACTTTCATTGTAATGCATTTGGTTTCAACTAAATACATTTGTTCTCAGGCTGCCTTCAACCAGGAGTGTGAGTTCATGGAGCGGATCCATGAGTTAGGCTACAACACCTACGCCTCCCGCCACTACCCGACAACCCCACACTCCACCTCAACGGGAAGCAGCAGCAGGCGAAGGGCGAGAGCTGAGAGGCTGTGGTATGTGTCAATCAATGGAAAGGGCCAGCCAATGTGGGGACGGAATACCCGAAAGACAAAGAAGGCCTCCCTCTTCCTGCCCAGGGTCCTGGGCCACAAGGACCATGACATGGTTCACCTGTTGATCAACAGTAGTCTGGGATACAGGCAGACTGCCCTCAGACTCACGGGGAGGACAGCACAGAGGAGATAGACACGTGTGTTCATCTCCAGGGAGCTTTGATGACCAGTCTCACTAGTCAGACTCAAGGCAAGACATCCACACGAGGACTATGGGAAGAGTATGACTGGTGACTGAGAGATACTAGCTCCCCCTGCCCTCCTTTAAACTGGCATAATGGTACTCTTTGAAAGACGTACAACATTACAGAGAGCATGGATGCATCATGCTGTCCTGTGAATAAAGTGGTCAATGTCTTGACTATAATGTATCTTTGTACTGTTGTTGTTAACTCACAATATCGAAAGTACATGCAGTTAATGTCCTGTATTATTTTTCTTGACCCCCATTTCATACGAATATGTCTGGAAGGATGCATGTAGATTACTCAAGAATATAATGTACAAAAAAGCACTTTGTTCAAACAATTGTATATTGTCCTATTGTCCACTTGGTAGAGCTTGGTGCATGCAACGGCAGGATTGTGGGTCCCATCCCGATCTATGTCGCTTTGGGTAAAAGTGTTTGCAAATTATAAATAGTATGTATATTACTGTTGTGTTGTTTATTTATTTGCCTCTATTACTTTTTATATCATAAACACATTTTCTATCAATATTACTTTTGCATTGTTTTTCTATTGGTCTATGTAACTCAAGTTTCATTACTCGTGGTAGTCTAGATTATATGTATTTATGAATTAGGCTACTAGCCTAGAGTTTTGAGGAATTATCTCAAAACTGTAGTAGGTAATCTAGAAAACAATTGGATAATCAAGACTACCAGATATGCAGGCTGTAAGGGTTGGGATTTAGGGCTACTGGTATCACCTTGCCTGAGTTGTCTATGGCTGTGTTTACACAGGCAGCCCAATTCTGATATTTATTTCACTAATTGGTCTTTTGACCAATCAGATAAGCTCTGAAAAAAATCTGATGTGAAAAGATCCGATGTGATTGGTCAAAATACCAAATAGTGGGAAAAGAATATTTGAATCGGGCTGCCTGTGTAAATGCAGCCTTTGGGTTCTATTTGCAGGGTATACTATTGGTTCTGTTCATTAGTAGACACTGCACCCTAGGGGCAGCAAGTCAAATCTCTTCTCTTCAGAGGTTCTGTTTGCATTAAATTACATTCCAAGAAAGTAACATTGCTCATTAAAATAATGATTTTAAGCTATTATTAGTTTACCAATTTCCCAATGACAACAGAAACATAACGAAAGGAGCACAGGTCATTCGTTTTTGGTGTAATGATAAGGTAAGACAATTGCAGGGCATACTAATCTCAGTAAGGCAGTGATAAGTCATTTTCTTACCAAATCAATGTATTTTGTTATTTGAAATTACTGAAAAAAAGTGACTGACTGTGGCTTCAACATACATTATTTCACAGCCTGTGAAAAGTTGAACAATGACATCCTGGAAACCGCATCCCTGTCCAGCATGGATCTGACTAAAATGCAGTACCATGGAGAGCAGCTGAGAACGCGTATGTATAGGCTAGAATTCAGCAGCCTGAAATGATTATTGATATTTTGGCTCTTCAATGATACGATATGAGTAAATATCAACAAACACCCGATCTAATAAATCGAAAATTGTTGGGCTATTTGCAGCGCTAAAATACTGTGTTGCGGTTTTATTCTTGCAAAGCAATTAATTACCTAAACCTGAAGGATTTCAGACTTTTTTTCAAGTAACAATCAAAATAGGTAGGCTATCTAAATATAAGACTAAAAGCTTATATTTTTTGGGGGGGTTGGGACATCAGTAGGCCTATTGCGTTAAATATTGTTGCAAGTTCAATTAATCCAAAATATCAATTTTAATATGAAAATAAAGTTAAGTATATTTGAGACGTTTGCCAAAGTAATGGTGTCACAGACAGGTCGTTGCCTGGACCATATTGAATTAAACTCATGACCACGTTATATCATGCCAAAAGTAAATGGAGATTTATCAGTGGAGGCTGCTGAGGGGAGAACGGCTCATAGTAATGGCTGTAAAGGAGCTAATGGAATGGCATCAAAGAAATGGAACCCATGTGTTTGATGAGCCTGTCCTCCCCAATTAAGGTGTCACCAACCTCCTGTGGATTTAATATAGCTTCTTACATGGCCCTCAGTCTTCGTTTTATGTATAATTTAACAACTATTAGCCGCAATTTTTCCACCAGTAATTCCCCAGCTTGAAATAATTAAAGATTGTTTGTGAGCAGGTGCAAAAGTCGTTGCGCCTCACGCCCCACTTGACACCTCTATGTCATTCCGGTTGTGCATTACACTGGCAAAGTGGCCATAGGCTTTCCAAGGTGTGGACGGTCACACATACGGTTCAAACCTCGAGCAAACCTTTGATATTAACTTTTGTTGAACATTTATGGACGTGCGTTGGGATTGGATGGGTGTTTTACGCATCACTGGCCACCATGGGCCAGAACTTGAGTCTAATAACGGACATCTCCAACATCCTGTGCGTAAAGGCTTGGTACCTTGTGCGCAAGCTCTTGGTACAGTCTGGGGGTATTACATTGTGTTTAGCTGATCAGATCAGATAAACAGAAGATGACTGTAGATCCCTCATCCCCATGGTAGGAGGCTTGGGTTGATAATGTCTCCAAACCTTTTTAAGATGCTAAAGTATTTGTCTTGCATCAAAATAATACAAATATAACCTTATTGTTGATATTGTTGCATTTAAATCATTATTTTCTGTGCAGGCTATCCCTTATTTCCATTATTCTAAAAGTAGGAAATCCCATTAAAGTGCTGTTGTTTTCCTGTTATGGTTTCATTTATAGCACTGTCTACTGTGCAACAGTCTGCTGGCTTTTCAGCTTCCTATTCTGCATCCTGCAATACATCATTTATTTTATTTCAGACGATATTGGAGGAAGTTTTAGACAACGATCCCATGCGTAATTCATCCTGTCGCCTGGACACATATTGAGAAGCCTGGGAAGAGCAATATAAAGACACTATATATACAGGCTGGGCTAAACGTTTATATATAGGCTATATGTGTCAGCTCATACTAAAATTACAGTCAATACATCAACCGAGCGCATTGAGTTGCATGCGCACCGCCACTCCGATATCTGAGTGCACAAGAAGGGGAGGTGGTTTTCTGAGTGACTTTGCGTCGGAGGTAACTGAGAGCAACGTTTTGGTACAGTAGGTGGCGTGTGATGTAATTTCGGAGCACATATAAGTATCGTCAGGAGAGAACAGACATGGCCATGTCCTGCAACACGACTGACAACTCACAACTCCAACACAAAGCAACTCGGAATAGAGTCATACAAACACCAGCGGAGCCATTGAAGTAGCCTACAGAAAAGACTTCATGCGGCCTCAGAAATAAGTTCACATTTACCCTGTATAGCCTTGTGAGGCTCACTGAGTCCCACAGTCTACACAACTTTTTTTGTCAACCTGTGAGCGCCACGGACAGGGGAAAGGGGGTTTGGGGAATTTTAAAACCTCTTCAAACACGTGAGACAGCACTGACCGACTGCACAGGGATGTCTGTCCACGCGTCCTGGCTACCAGTACCGCTGCTGGTGTGGGGACTAGTGTGTAGCTCAGTGCGCACTGCCCCGTTCACGGGTAGGCAGACCGACACTCTAGAGCGGCATTGGGAAACGCTCTACTCTCGCTCACTGGCTCGAAACCCATGGGAAAAAAGAGAAATCAACCGGGACGGTGACTATCTTACAGGCATCAAAAGACTTCGGCGTCTCTACTGCAATGTCGGCATTGGGTTTCATATTCAAGTTTTACCAGACGGAAAGATAACTGGAATGCATAACGAAAATAGATACAGTAAGTTCATTTTCATACTTTTATTGAACTCATCATCTTTGGGCCAACTGTTTGATCTGCAACCTGTCTGTGCCATGCGCCAACACTTCATATTGTGGGATCGAGTTGTGTGAATGGGGACCATGCCAACTTGAGCATAATACTGTGTTTAGATTAGGCTACTAGTGAATTGACGTCACATGGATGTTATTATTATTGTCCCATGTGACTACAGTTGAAGGATGCGAGGTGTGTTTTAGCCAAGAGTGATGTTTCATTTCGGCTTCTTTGCAAGGCTTTGATTAATGCGCCTCCTTGAACAATTTTCACAGGTCTTTTTTCAAATAAAAAGGCTTCGGGACATGTTTCTGAAATGTCAAAAGGAATCAGGGATGGTACCAGATCTGAGAGTTTGGCGTCAATGATAGGGTAACTTGGGGGAAAACGCCCCATGGAGGGGGGGTGGTTGCCCCAAACAAATTGTACTATTTTATTAAAAAGTTATCACCATTTTTCTCTCTAGCCAAGTGGATTGTTTATCTTTAGGCTCCCCTACTGGTATATATAAAACAGTTTATAGATCTAACTTCATTAGGTTATATGTATAACTTTTTCTAAATCACAAAATATTAGATCAATGTACATCAAAATCGTTTTGTTGGAGTGACTTAAAAAGTTGAGATGAGACAGATGAAATGTTTACTTGAGCAAGACTAGTGGCATCCAGGGAAAGTGTTGAAAAACATGTTTGTGGCATAAAGTGGTTTCTGTGAGAATTACAGGAGGGGGGCGTTTAACCCCAACCCACCCTAACCGTTGGCTATCAACATATTGGTGTGAGGTTGGGTCAGTTATTCCCCATGATGTATTATGGAGAATAGGCTAGTCATCATAATACATTATGGTATTATATCCAGTACTGTATAAAGTCACGACCCATTGGAAAATATGTAGTATGTTTCTCTTCCTTCCTCACAAATGAGTCTTTTTAAAACAATCCTCAAATAAAACCACAGAGACAAGACAAGGTTGTTTGTATCTTGTTTTATCATGCAAGCCCAAAGTAGGCAATTTAATCCAAAATCCAACCTGTTACTGGGAACTTCACTGAGAGGAAGTCTATATTATATTTAGGCTACTTGATGCTTCAATTCATCATCGAATATGAAGGGAGGAAAGCATCATTTCCTTGCAGGATGTTCCAGTAGCAGTTTGAACATAGACCTAAACAGACCTGTCTACTACAGTTCTCCTTATCTACTCCATCTAGTTTTACAACACAATGGATTATAAACAACTTCGTTTTGGTGTAGATAAGTACAATGTAAACATATCAGTGATATTCTTTGTCTAATTTCAGGTCTCCTTGAGATATCACCTGTGGAGAGAGGGGTTGTGACGCTCTTTGGCATCCGAAGTGGTCTGTTTCTGGCCATGAACAGCAAAGGGAAGCTCTATGGATCTGTAAGTAGACATGACATGTTTACTGGGATGTATTTCTGGGTCACAACATACTTCGCTTCATGAGAGATCTCCACAGAAAAATTATAGTCAATGTCTTGGCATGCCTGTACATGTTTGTAGCTTATGAACGTCATAGTACGCTACGCCACAGGTGCATTCAATACAAGGTGTAGACATTTCCTTTCCCTAGAGTCCATGACATGTACAGTAGCCAATATGGTATTTAAAAGTAATGTGGAATTGGCCAAAAAATCCCAAGTGTTGAGATTGACATGTGTGATTGGATTCATTTGGCCAACAGAGGTTCTACCGCAGCTTCCTTATAGTCTACTGTACATTGAATTATTTTACCGTAAATATTAACCTCTTATGTCATCCCTTCTCCAGGGTCATTACAATGATGAGTGCAAGTTCAAGGAGAATCTCTTGGCAAATAACTACAATGCTTACGAGTCAGCAGCTCACCCAGGGATGTATATTGGACTGAGTAAGACTGGCAAAACCAAAAAAGGAAACAGAGTAACACCAGCCATGACAGTGACACACTTCTTACCAAGGATCTGAATGACTCCAGTGAGACTGTACCTTAAACAAGGGTAGAGGAGAGGGACTGGAAACAATGCACTTTCAAATGTTTTTCTAGAGTGTGATATTTAAGTTATTTATTTATGATTCCTGATAATTTTTCTATTTTGGTGAAAGTGGAATAACGTAGAAAGGGGAAAATGAATAATGACAATTGTTTTTGTTTTTGTTTTGTATCTATGAAATGTGTGCTGCTATAAATGTATTGAGATGAGTGAATTTTTTAAAGAGTAAAATTGATTTTGCACTTTTTTAAAAGTACTGTTGTGCAGCAACGGTTATGCAGTAAGCGTTGTTATACTACTTGTACTACGTTGAAAGAAATTGGAGACCCACGCTTGTCAGATTTGTGTCACAGCATCATAAACAAAGATAATGATGGTAAAGGTCCAAACCATTCAAAGTTCAGTACTGGTCCCATGATTAGTTATTTATTGGTCAATACAATGACGATTGGGACGTCTAAAAACTAAATAACACAGAAATCGGTTCCTGTATTGAATTTGTTTAACAAAATCATGGTCTTGGTCAGAGTTGTGTTACTGTAGTATTTTTAAAAATGTAAGCAAGCTCACTTGTTAATTTTTCATTTCTTATTGATTTAGTGTTTCACTACCTCAGTACGGAGAAGCCAGGATGGATTGTGTTGTTGTTTGTGTCTTTTATGTTGTTTTGTTGTCTTTCTGAGGACGACGGATGACGCTGCCATGCTTCTACGCTTTACAACATAGCCTACACTGGATATCACTGATGAGATCAACCAAAAGGAACAGAGAGGAGCCCAATCAAAGAGAGGGAATCAGAGTTTAGATGGCACATCTGTAGTGTACGTTTAGGGTTCAAGATTACCCCAATCCAAGTATGAACTATGTTTTTGTTGCATGCATGTATGGTAAAAAAGTATTTCAAATGCACACACAAATGACTGGACCCTCCTCTACTCTCACATTAGTGAAGGTAGATTACTATTTCTTTATATAGATATATAAAGTAATCTATGACATTGTCACTTTGTTATGTTTTTCTGTATTTCAAATATATGTCTTGTTGTACTCAATGCCTGATATGTGCAATCTAAACCAAGAAGAATGTTATTTCTTGTTGGCACAGCGGATGCAGAAAATTAACATATACTGTAAACTGAAAACTGAAACAGGGCTCTATTCAATCTGTATCGCTGAAGCGTTACAAATTGCCCAATAGAAATGTAAAAGTAATTTCAGATTGAGCCGACATACAGATGTAGGATCTTAATTTGAGCCAGTTTTCTACAGCAGGACAATAATCCTGCAGCAACAGGAAATGTGAATTATTATGTGGATTATAATGAATGGACATTTTTTGTAGGGGTTGATGCATTTTTCCTAAGGAAAAATGAAGTCTGAAATTTCAAAGTGGAAATTACAAACTTCAGAAGCCTTTTTAAACCTCAAATACACTACACGTTTAAAATGTCCTGCATTGCAGGAAAGTTTTCCAGCAACAGGTTGGTCAAATTAAGATTCTACATCTGTTTGCAGTGTTTACCGTGAATGCATTCTCCGCTAATGCGTGAACATTGCCTTTAAATTTCAAATCACGCTTTAACGCTGAACTTGAATAGAGCCGTACATGTGTTTCTTACTGTGCTCATTAATATTATCCCTTGTGATATTCTGCGTTCAGTTCAACATTATACTATATCCCCTGTTATGCATTTCATGTAGCCTATATGTATCAACATTATGGCTGTAGTTTTATACAGGTCCTGTTCAACATTGTGGTGTATGTGCTGTGCATATTATCAAATAACTTAAAGAAAGTAAATAAATTATGTTAAGCAGCATAACAACTTTGTATTATGGATTGTTATGGATTGTTCCAGAAAGCAGTACATTAACAAGTAGAGACTGAAACCAACTCTGCACCACCCTATCAAGCTAATATTCAAGTTCAAGTCAAGCTAAAAATACTCTGTGTCTGTGAATAATGTTAACCTCTCTCGATAGTTTACATCTATATAAAATATACACATATCACAGATCATTTGTCCATGCCAACGACTCACAGCCCTTGTGGAATTCAGAAAGCTCTTTCAAGTAGGCCTACTGATTGGGGCAATACATAGCCTAGGGGACATGGGCCTATCACACGCTCCCACAACAAGGACGTGTTATGCAGTGTTCTCTTGTGAAAGATTACTCATAAGGATACAGCTCAGACTTCAAACTATGACGCTTCGGTGTGTCACACTAAATAACGGGGTTGCCCAAAAATGACAGTGATGGAATGCATTCTCAAAAAAGACAGAAAGTGAACGAAACGATTAATAATGATGATGAGCAGCGGATTGTATTGTTTTACTCCCCCCTGTAATTTATACTCACTTACAGACCAGCAAAAGATTTAACATCAGCACTTTAAGTTAGACTTTAAATCCAGACTGATTTCAGCTTCATTTCGCATTTGTTTCAGTGAAAGAATGGTGAAACATGGCATGATTCAATCTAGATTTCCAGGTTAATTATCAATGACACTTCAACATAGAAATCCAAGTCCACACTGCTTAAGTTATTGGGAGATCTCTGAGACGAAGGGGTAATTTGCATGCTTGGATTTATCACTGTGTTGAGTGAAGATGTACATGTTAAAAGCCTGTTGCATTCACACTTCTCTAAAGTGGAAATGCTGCTGAAATCGCATCAGTAAATTAGCTATGCTAACAGGTATGAACATGACTAGACTGTTTTACTTGTGGCTGGCTGAGACAGTGTGAATGGAGGACAAAGCAGTAGCCAATCTGAGAGTATGATTTGTATGTCAGGAGAGCATCAGGCCTCCTTCTTTGGGCTCTATACATGCTCTGCTTGCCTTGATTAATCCACCATTCACTATAGAGTCATACATTCAGAACTTTAACAAAGTGCTTAGCCCATGTAAGTTAGTCTCCTGGCATGCAAAATCTATGGTGGCCCTAAGATGCAAAGTAGCAACCGTGAATTTGTTTTGCTACTTTAGTAGCTAGAATCATAAGATCACAGAGGGTAGTGGCCTATTAGGTATCAACAGGTGTTGTATGTGTCCAATCCCCACACTAGCATGTTAGGCCTCCTCTTCCAAAAGCTTCCCCCATAAAGATGACAGTACACTGATACCCTCCCAGCCAAGATCTGTCTCGGAGCTGAGAGGACCTATAAAATTGGTGTCATTTCCGCACTAATTGCACTATCATCATCAAAACCAATATTTGAGCATGGCTCGGGTGCTACTCCTACATTGAACAGTTTACCTCAAGGGTCTGCTTTATGCCCAATGGTCATTTCATGTCCTTTAGATGTACAAAGGTCCCAACAAACTCCAGACAATCCAGGAAACTGACAACGATGTGTGTGATAACAGAAAGGTCATTGACAGTAATTGAATGGTGGTTAAGTATCCCAGCCAGGCAATGTCAGGCTAGATGCTAGCCTTTTGATTTGTTCCTCTCTCCTTTGCACTGCTAACACACACATGCATACACACGCAACACACACACACACACACACACACACACACACACACACACACACACACACACACACACACACACACACACACACACACACACACACACACACACACACACACACACACACACACACACACACCACACACACACACACACACACACACACACACACACACACACACACACACACACACACACACACACACACACACACACACACACACACACACACACACACACACACACACACACACACACACACACACACACAATGGCCAGGAGGCTAGCAGCAGGGAACAGCCAGCCCTACACATTGACAGCAAGCAGTTGTGAGAGCGCATGTATAATGCAACCGTCCTATTGCCTCTGTATCTGAGAACTCAGGTGCAAAAGGGGGGATGTCCTAAATGTTTGCAGAATCACATTAGTGGAAGCCATGACTGTTCTCAGGGCAGGCCTGGTTGTAGCTAGATATGTTCGAGTCGCGTTGAGGACAATTTTATCATTTTAGCTAACCCTAACCCTTTTCCTAACCTTAACCTAATTCTCCTTACCTGCCACATTCATTATCCTAACCTGCCGCGTAAGTTCTCCTAACCTGCTACGAAATGTAACTTGTGTCTGTCCTATACACTGTATATGAGAGATATAAAAAAGATCAGGAAACTATCTTTATTTATTGTTATTATTATATATTTTTACATGTATTTATCCCCTTATTTTAGGCTCTAAACTATCTCCATATATACAGTGGCTTGTGAAAGTATTCACCCCTCTTGGCATTTTTCCTATTTTGTTGCCTTACAACCTGGAATTAAAATAGATTTTTGGGGGGTTTGTATCATTTGATTTACACAACATGCCTACCACTTTGAAGATGAAAAATATGTTTTATTGTGAAACAAACCAGAAATAAGACAAAAAAAACAGAAAACTTGAGCGTGCATAACTATTCACCCCCTGAGGTCAATACATTGTAGAGCCACCTTTTGCAGCAATTACAGCTGCAAGTCTCTTGGGGTATGTCTGTATAAGCTTGGCACATCTAGCCACTGGGTTTTTGCCCATTCTTCAAGGCAAAACTGCTCCAGCTCCTTCAAGTTGGATGGGTTCTGCTTGTGTACAGCAATCTTTAAGTCATACCACAGATTCTTGACTAGGCCATTCCAAGACATTTAAATGTTTCCCCTTAAACCACTTGAGTGTTGCTTTAGCAGTATGCTTAGGGTCATTGTCCTGCTGGAAGGTGAACCTCCGTCCCAGTCTCAAATCTCTGGAAGACTGAAACAGGTTTCCCTCAAGAATTTCCCTGTATTTAGCGCCATCCATCATTCCTTAAATTTTTTGACCAGTTTCCCAGTCCCTGCCGATGAAAAACATCCCCACAGCATGATGCTGCCACCACCATGCTTCACTGTGGGGATGGTGTTCTCGAGGTGATGAGGGGTGTTGGGTTTGTGCCAGACATAGTGTTTTCCTTGATAGCCAAAAA